CTATACATACAAATGGTCAGCAACTGCGGCAGACAGTTGTGAAATGCCTGTACACCCTTACAGGGAGATTTTAAGGGTCTGGGACTAGGATAGTCCTAGAGGGAAGACAGTACTCATTAGGACCATGCACAGCTGCGTTGCTCACTGAACTCTACCTGCTTTTGCATCTTTGTTGCCTCATGGCAGGGCCTGAACACTTCTGTAGGTTTGCTTTGTTGCAGTTAAAATTCAGGCTGTACCGCCTGATGTGGGGTGTGTGTTGGAGCATGGTCAGAAGAGAAGGAGCATTCCTGGTGGTTTTGTGTTTCCGCTGCAGTCATCCCTAATTACTGATCTGGGCTGGCCCAGGGGCTCCTCTAGGTGGAGTTTAAATTTCCCATTGCAATGGTCAGAAAAAGGCATAGCAAATTATGGGTCATAACAACTTAGGATTTTGTATTTTATTGCTCTCCTCGCACTGTTTAGCAATGGAATTCTCTCATATATATATATATGTATATATATAACCTGAAAGTTCGCAGCTTCTGAGGGGACAGAGATGACTTGCACTGAACAGCCAATCTAATGCAGGTAAGCTTCTATGCATTTGGGTCGATAAATCTTGACCTCCTATCTGCTGTAACTTGGTTTTATATGGCCATTATGTGAAGCCGAGTCCAGTGAACTTTGGAGTATTTGTAAACAGCATTGCAAGGAAGATGCAGGCCACAAGGGTGAAAGACCAGCAGCATGCTGTTCCATCTTTTCCGTCGTGCAGTTTGAGAAGAGTGAGTTGAGTGAAAACCTAATTTGTTTTTCTTTACGTGAAAAACCCAAACGCTCTACATGTTGAGCATGCACACAATAAGTCACTGCAAAGGTGCTGCCAAGGTCAGTGGTTGTGAAAGTGTGTAGGTAGAGGGGTGCTCAGAAGAGAAATGAGAACCTTACAGTACACTGACACCATGCTGCAGAAGTGGAGTGGAAAGAGGCCACAGTGAAATTGCAGTGTGAATACTCTAGCTGTCAATTTTTTAGTTAAGGTTCCTATCATATGCTTCTATTTTTAGCATAGTTAAAATTAAACTCTGCAGCCGAGGCTGAGCACTAGAAATTCCTTCTTCACTACTTCAGCGTTGCCAGCATCTTTTTAGACAGCTTTCTTCTCCTCTCCTGCACCCTTGGATATGGGATACTTCAGCTATACAGGATAGTAAGTATCATCTCTCCACCCTCAGGAGTGACCTCCCAAAGGACTTCAAGCAACGAGTAGATGAGATTGTCGCGACAGTGTCTGGTGTCAGCTTTTAATTTGTGAGCATTTTCCTTGGCCCTACGTTCATGGATGGTTACTGCTGAAAATCTGCATGAAACTGTCCTTAACTCACCCTGCCTAATGCCATTGCACAGATGGCATCTGCAATCAGTAGATCAGGGAGCACGGTTGTAGCTAAATAAGACTTGTAAGTTGGGGTCAAAGCCTCAATCTTAATTCTTGAGTTCCTAGCTTTAATACAACCACAGTTAGAACAGCCTCTCCCAGTCTGCAAAATGTTCTGACATCAAACACTTCATAGTCAGGCTCTGCCCTTTATCTTGCAGACTCACCTGTCCTATGGGTTTTTTATTTGTCTTTACAATAGCAGATATTAAATTCCTTGAGGCTGCTGCTTTGTCTTTTAATGTGCTCCACTGAGTACAGCTGTGCAAATATAAACCAAACCTGTTTTGCACAGTACAGAGTTCACTTGTGGAGTATTTAGAATTTGCCTTTAGCTCCATTTAGGACACAGAGGAAGATGGTGGTTGTATTTAGGCTGCTGTATTAGGCCCTTGGCAGGCAAAAAAGGATCTGGTGTTTTGGTTGTATTGGTCCAATGAAAATGGTGTAAAGTGACTGATGAGCCCCTTAATGCAGACTGCCATAGTAGGAGCAATGGTAGCTGGCCCTGGTGAGCCTTCTCATTGCTAGGTCCTAGCACTGCCAGCTACCACTGCTTTGAAGTTGATAGCTGGTATCTCCACAAATGTTAAAAAGATTCATCATCTTTATCTCATTTGACTCAAACCACTTTTTTCTAATCAGAAAGAAATTTACATTTTGTATGCGTCTGCAAAAGATTTCTTTAAAAAATTTAGAAGTGACTATTTCATAATACAGTGCAAAATTTATAGACTATAGCTGCTCTTTCCCTTCCCTGGAAGGGGAAGAATATTGCAATTACTCCTTTTTAATCTTTCTTGTTATCCATTGTGTCTGGCAGGTGGAGGTGAAAATAGATTTGAGATGTACAGTAAATCATAGAGTCATAGAATGGTTTGGGTTGAAAGGGACCTTAAAGATCATCTAGTTTCAACCTCCCTGCCATGGGCAGGGACACCTTCCACTAGACCAGGTTGCTCAAAGCCCCATCCAGCCTGGCCTTGAACACTTCCAGGGATGGGGCATCCACAACTTCTCTGGGCAGCCTGTTCCGGTGTCTCGCCACCCTCATAGTGATGAATTTCTTCCTTACATCCAGTCTAAATCTGCCCTCTTTCAGTGTAAAGCCATTACCTCTTGTCCTATCACTACATGCCCTTGTAAAAACTCCCTCTCCAGCTTTCCTGTAGGTCCCCTTTAGGTACTGGAAAGCTGCTATAAGGTCTTCCTGGAGCCTTCTCTTATCCAGGCTGAACAACCCCAACTCTCTCAGCCTGTCTTCATAGGAGGGGTGTTCCATTCCTCTGATGATCTTCATGGTCCTCCTCTGGACTTGCTCCAACAGGTCCATGTCCTTCTTATGTTGGGGGCCCCAGAGCTGAATGCAGTACTCCAGGTAGGGTCTCATGAGAGCAGAGTAGAGGGGTAGAATCACCTCCCTTGACCTGCTGGTCATGCTTCTTTTGGTGCAGCCCAGGATACAGTTGGCCTTCTGGGCTGTGAGCACACATTGCCGGGACATGCTGAGCTTCTTGTCAGCCAACACCCCCAAGTCCTTCTCCTCAGGGCTGCTCTCAATCCATTCTCCACACAGCCTGTATTTGTGCTTCAGACTGCCCTGACCTATGTGCAGGACCTTGCACTTGTCCTTGTTGAACTTCATGAAGTTTCCATGGGCCCACCTCTCAAGCCCATCAAGGTCCCTCTGGATGGCATCCCTTCCCTCCAGCGTATCGACCGCACCACGCAGCTTGGTGTCACTGGCAAACTTGCTGAGGGTGCACTCGATCCCACTGTCCATGTCACCAACAAAGATGTTAAACAGCGTCGGTCCCAGTACCGACCCCTGAGGAACACCACTGGTCTTCATTCAGACATCGAGCTGTTGACTGCAACTCTCTGAGTGCGACCATCCAGCCAATAGTGGTCCATCTGCCAAATCCCTGTCTCCCCAATTTAGCAACAACGTCATGTGGAACAGTGTCAAATGCTTTGCACAAGTCCAGGTAGATGAGGTCAATTGCTCTTCCCTTATCCATTTAAAGATCTAATGCTGTAGTCGTATAGACTACTCACACAGAACTTGGCTCATGACTTTGAACCCTCTTAGCCCAGGGTAATTACATAGGAAGAGTGGCTAAGAAGAAGTAGCCATTAAGAAGACATCTACCAGCAGTAGCCATGCTACAGTAGTAGAGATCCTTCCTTCTTTTAAACGCAGCTTAATTATTACTCTTCCAAATACATTGTTTTGCTTTCTCTTTCTTTAAGAGGCACCCACTACAGCAGAGAGGAAACTCAGCACAGCAGCATCAAGCTGTGCAAGAAAAAGCATTAACCTCGGAGGACCACCTTTTGGAAACAATTGTGTTTTTCTAAACCAAGGGAGTACCTTTAAATTAAGATTCAAGATTTCATGTAGAAGCCCTTGTGCCTTTTCATTTCTTGCTATCAGGGCAAGAGTTGAACAGAATTCCAAAATTTAATGTTTGCTGTATAATCCAAACCTTTACTGACTGAACGTTTACCTGGAAACTCACACCACTGTAAGTAAAAATGGTACTTTTTTGCTCATGATGTGAAAAGTGATAGTAAAAGCCTTTGTGTGAAGGTCAGGTTACATGAAAATCCTGGGGGGGGGGAGTTTTTGGAGGTTTGGTTGGGTTTGTTTTAGGTTTTTTTTGGAAGGGTTACAGTTTTTGTTTGTAACCATGTTACTGCTTTTTGTCAGCTATATGGCTTTTGTATACCCATTATTCACATAAAAATAACTTCACGATTCATTTTCTTCATTAAATGTATTTGAAAACCATGAGCTTTTTTTTCCTTCTAATTAAGATTTAACACTCAAACCATGAGCCAGTTTGTACAGAAATGTCCTCCTTGAAACATACATTAGCAATGCTACTCTTGAGAATGAACTGCCATCAACCTAGTTTGAACCAGTTTTGCAAGGACCACATTTGCAAAAGGTGACTGAATTCCCAGGGCCATACCTGCTGCGATCCTCTGACAATGTCTGCCCTGCAGGCAGATCCTAAAGAACAATTCTGAAGAAGTATCTCTGAGGTCTGAGACAAATGTGATCTTTAAAATGTATGGCTTAGTACTAGATGGGAATTCTTTCCCTAATAAATGTAAATTTGATAGGCTGCCTCTACTTGCATTTCCTGTTAATGGTTTGATCAGCTGAAGTGGGTTGGGACTGGCAAGTTAACTCTAGGACCCTGGATTTCAGTGGGTACTGAAAGCTAGGAGCTGAAAAATGGAAGGTATAAAAATAAAACAGCATATAACACCCCTTAGGATTACACAGACCCTAGGACAGAGCTGAATCTTGCTCAGTTTTGGTAAGCCAGCTGCATGTTCAGTTCCTTCCACAAAGTGGTGCAGTTCCAGGTGATGGCAGAAAGCCATGTGCCAGAGAAGCGTGCAGCAACTGGAGGCTTGGAGCAGCTTGGAGCATTTGTAACATAGGGTCAAGTTCTCAGCAGCAGACAAAAATCCAAACTGGAGTGAATGGTCCCTTCACTGAGCTACTGCATAAGAGAAAGGCACGACTTGTTTGCTGTAGTGCAGGGCTGGCAGAAGCACATCTGCTATACTGAACTTCCCAGGCCCTAAGGGGATGTGAGCCTTGGAAGGGCTCAGGCATACATCCATTAGGCACTCTTCAGAACTGAAAGAGCTGTGAGTAGGCAAAGCAGATGTTTAGGCACCTAACAAGAAGAAGGTGAACAAACAATCTGACAGCTAATTCTTAGATGTAGGCACTTACCCGTTTGTGGCACTAGCCTCAGGCACTTCCTTAAGAAACCAGGAAGAATGATAGCAGTGGATGTTGTTTTCCCTTCTGCTAGGCATGGAGGCACATGTGGTCTTCTTAATTACTGCTAGGTGTTTTAATCATTGTTACTAGTGTGCTAGCACTAATTTACAATGACTTGTTATTGTGCACCACCAGCTTTCATGTTCAAGATCTGTGAATTTCCCTTCTCACAAAAAGGCAGCTAGAAAAGCTGAGTTTACACTTAACTTTATTACAAAACTAACCAATACAGCTTCAGCTCTCTGCATACTCACAAGACACCCCTGGGAACTTGTTTCCCGTGGCTGTGTGGAAATCACATTTCTGAATGCCACACCAAAGTGAGGGAGATGCAAATGACTGTATCATCTCCTGCTATTCTTTTGCTCATCTGCCTTGGGCTGATGTATCCGGGGAAGGGTAGGATGTAATGCTGCTTGAAGTATAACCAACAGTCCTCATGCTATGGCACCAAAGTTCATTTGCAGTGGACCAGACAGAATGAAGCACATGTCTTCTGCAGACACTTGTATGGTTTTTCTCTTGTGGCTACTCTGACAGCTTCTTCTCTAATAACTGCTTCACCAGAACAGGATTGGATCGTCCTTGTGTTTCTCTTTGTACCAGCCCAATTAACTTATTTAGAACTTTTTGATTTCCTGCCTTTATCGCCATAACCTTTAGAGAAAAAAAAAAAAAACCAACAGACACCACTGTTACAGGAAAATCAGACATCTTTTCACAGCCAAGGTATGAATAGTTTTGTCCTTTCAGATCATTGTGTAGAATACTATATATTTGGGGCCAAGGTGTTATTTATAAAAACTGCCTTCAGCTTTGCAATAAGCTCCTGCTCTGCTCCCATAAGACAACAGCAAGTCCCTACAGCAGCAAGGCCTTACAACTAATAGAAAGATCTCCTCTTATTGAAAAAGTCAGAAAACACTTTTGGATTTTAACAGAGTCTGCAACTTGAACAGTGACTTCCTGGAAAAGAGCCAGAAAAATGAGATGGACTTCTCTTGCTAATAGGATCTACCTTTTTACTCAATATAGTGTTCAGTTATAACAAGTAATTTGCATCAAATCATAATCTATTTGATAATATTTGTGGGGTCCTTCAAGCACAGACGTAGGTGTTTTTGTAACAGCATGTTACTTCCTTTAAGCAAGGAATCCTTTGCAACACAGCAATTAATTAACCCATCAGAAATTCAACCTCCTATCAGGCAGCTAGTGTTTGATGCACAGTCACCTGCAAAATAGCAAGGGCCATATTTAAAAGCTAAGTAAAGCCACTGAAAAAAGCATTGGAAATTTCACTTTTGGGCATTTCTAAAGGAGATGCTACTGCTGAAAGACAAGCGTCTGGCCTTCATATTGCTTGTGTGGCAGGGAAAACATTCTCTACATTGTCAGAGTTACTGGGAAAAACATGATAGCTTCAATTAAACAGGATGTCATATTTACAGATATTAAGGGAAGGATTGCGAACATATGAGCCACCAACTGTGCCAATACCAAGCACAAATGCAAATATTGCTGCTCATTACTGTATCCAAATTATTGGCAGTCTAAAATCTTCTCTGTGATGTCACAATACAGAAAAGACTCATTACTCCTGATCTGCTAGAAATTACCTATATGGGGCAGAGTGCAGAACAATCCAGGTGATACTGCATTTTCATAAAGTGCTCAGCATTGGCTTGAGCAACTGTAAGTTAGTTCATTTTAAAGAAAGTTACTATCAAAAAGCATGGCATACTTTATTTTCCCTGTCAAGTACTCAGCTAATGCTATTTTGTAAGGTAAGCTCTCACAGCAATTTAAAGCAGTGAATTACAGGCCTTCGAGGCAGCTTTTGCCTTGGCAAAAGATCATCTGGAAAAAGTAGAGAAGAGAGGCCATTCTACTGCATTTGGCTTGACTAATACAGTGGAAAACAGAAAGGAATTACATTCTCAGAAAAAGCACTATTATTGAAATGGGAGTGTAGTTATGGACCTTCAGCTTCTGCACTTCCCAATCAGTTCTTGTGTTCTTTCTATCCACACTTGTGCTTCTGTACCAGTCTGAAAATACAGCAGCACTTTTATCAGGCTCTGCAAATGAGTCAGTCTGATGGAGGTCACACCGACCTACTGCAAGCTCATTCACTTTATTAAAAGCTCTTGCAGAGATGTTAGCATCGCCCAATGAGATCTGGGGTGGGTGGTATTGTTCTCAAAAGATGTTAATGTTTTTTTCCAAATGGCAAATGTATCTAGACAATGTTTATGTTAGAAACAACCTATTCACTTCTGCTTTTACATTTTGCTCCAGAGAACATACAAGCACTTGTTTTCATTTTGCTTTTTATCAAGCAGATTTTAGACTCTGTCAAGATCCCTTCCCACTCCTCCCCTTCATGATCAACAATGGTTTTTTCCCTTTTTCCCAGCTCAGACCTTTGTAGACTGGTAAGCCACGCAGGCTGCTGCGTGTCCTTCCAAGGAGATGGGGAAGAGCCAAAACCCCATCTTTCCTGCTGCAGCATTTGTGCTGCTGCCACAGACCAGCAGCAGAATAGCAGAGCGGACAGCAGCTCTGGAGGCACCGATGCTGCTGCCACGGGGGTCCGGCTCCTCCCCGCCCCACAGACATTGTCAGGCAGGAGAGCCAGCTAGACTTGTCTCTTTGGCAGAGGAGGGAGACAGGGACATGGCGAAGAGACAGATGCAAGTAAAATTTTTGTCTTGCCAGCTCTGATACAGTCTCTAATTCCATAACTAATATATGCCTTGCTGGCAGGTAACTTCAATCTCCAGCTTCAGAACAGTTTAACATTGTTGCCCTAACATCACAAGAGATGACATAAAAATCAGAGTTATGTGGCCGGGTGGCCAGGTCAGGTTAATGGCAGTATAGCTGAAGAGGGAAAGAGCCCCACAGTTTTGCTTTCCTGCATTAAATTTTTATGGTCTCTCAGAATGACTTAGCGCATTAGCCAGACTGGTAATTTCTTCTGCTGATCATTTTGTGTATGCTTCAATTTCCAAAAAAAACACTTAGTAAAATAAGAAAGGAGAAGAAAAGCCTGACAATAGCAGAGCAGCAGCTTTAATGCTCCTATACTGGCTCTAGAGCTCAAATGCCAATCAAAAGGAGGGGAAAAAAAAAAAAGAAAAAAAGGCCATTTTAACCCCCTTTTTAGAGCCACAGACTGCCATAGCGCACAAGCTTCCCAGCACCATCATAATCACCTCATTTTCTTGTCCATCAATCACCGCCTGGCAGATCTGTTCAAGCTCTTTTTGATCCTGTATCAGTTCAAGTTCCTTTTCTTTAACAATTTCAAGAGGAGCCTTCCCTTCTCCCTTCCACAATTCTGCAAGCACCTGAAAGTGATAAAGACTAGCAAAGGTCAGCGCCTTGACATGCTTACATGCAGTATTTCAGTTACTGATCCAAGAAGCCAGATTTTAGTTAAAGCAAGAGCAGATTGTCTAAATGTGAACAAACCCAAGATTTAATCCTGCGCCTCACTGAAAGAGCTCTTGCACCCTCCCTCCTTTTCTGCATCCTGAAATAAGACAAAACATTTTCACTTACTGCATGAGTACAGGTTAATGGTTTGCAACTGGTGCTCTGCAGCCTACCACAGTACTGGGAGCTGCCCGTTACTAGCAGTGATGGTACCTCTTCAAAGTAGTTTGCCAAGCGCAGCGCAGCCCCCATGTACCTCGCTGCGCTGAGCCGCTGCTCCCTCGCTGGGAGAGGGGGGTACCACGGCAGAGACCGTCACCAACTGCAAGGCTGTTCCTCTGGCAGTACTCATGCTAATCTCGCATTATTCACAAGAACTGCCTGAGAGCAGTAAGGAAATGCATCTCCATGAGCAATGTCTCTGCCTGGGAACTGACGATTAGCTGACTGTTGTACCAAGTCCAATCCCTGGTAACTTATCCCATTACCAGTCCTCATCAGCAAGGTGTAATGAGGATACATATGACAAAGCAGAAGAAAAATAGTGCTGAGCAGAATGAATGCAGCAGCTCCAGCCCACCTATGCATCACCTCCAAGTACTGGACTGCTGGGTGAACCAAGGCCCCTGGTATAATCACTTGTTAACACTAGGGTGTTCTCCTATGCTGTAGCAGGGCTATCGCCCTGGAATAAACTTCAGAGAAGAGAACATTTATAAAAAACCAATTCCCTTGGGCAGTCATTTGCTGTATTCCCTTTGCCCTTATTTCAGAGCTGTGGGAGGAGAGAAAGAAAACCCTTATTAGAACAGCTGCTTGTGCTCCATCCTGAGCTGAAGATATAATTGTATGTTTGGGCCATTGCTGTGTACCAATATGGAAATAGATGTCACATCAAAATTTCAGCATTAAATACTCACTGTAGGATGAAGATGCTGCTGGGATGGGGAGACGAGAAGGGGCATTCAAACTGCATGTTAAATAATTAGCAGGGCAGCAAGAGAACTTAGGAAAAATGAAGCACGTGGGATGGTATTTCAACTATCCCAGCAATTTTCTTCAGCATGAAGGATTTTCTGGTACAAAGACCTTCAGATAGACACTTTTGTAGCCACAACAGGTATTTAAGAACCATGCATTGACATAATTCCTGCAAGAGGTGATTTGTTTGCCAGCAGTACCCCAAAGCTTTTTATGGGATCTTATCACTCTGCTGGAGACCTTGAGAGAGGGTAATGACACACAGCTTTATTGTGGCAGCTACATCTTGTTTTTTCCCTGTCAGAGGGTTAAAGGCAGATCACTATTAAAGTTACTGATAAGCAGCCAGAGTTACAACCACTATAAGTAAAGCTTTCAGATATTTATATCTAAATAAATCAGTGCAGTATATGATGTCTTCTACAAGATCTTCCTTCTAGTGCAGTACTTAAAAATCATCATGGCAGTGCTACCTGAATACCCCTAGAAAGAAATACATCCAACAGAGATTCAACCTGTCTGCAGCTGCTTGCCTTTTTATTGTTGCACTCCATTGCTATCCCAGGCAGCCCCCTCCTGCTCCTTCCCTGAGGGACCAGGCAGGAAGATTTTTTGTCCTCAAGGGCTCCCCGAGGCACAGGGACAGTACATCACCCCTCAGAAGGAGGAGCACAGCTCATAACAAAACACCCTGGAAAGTCTGAAGCACTGCACAAATCAGGGGCTGGACAATGAATAAGCCGTGTTGCTCTCCTGGAAAAAGGCAGATGTGATTTTTAGGACTGGTATGTATTCAAGCAAGATGTCATAGGCTGCAGGAGGGGAAAATCTGCAACAAACAAAATCTATGCAGCTGACCATGGCAGAGTTACCCAGGAGCAACTCATTCATCAGGCTGACTTAGATCAGTGGCAGGACAGCTTGGCAGTCAGAGATCCAGCTCTGATTCCCTGCTATTCCTATGCCAAATGTCTCCTGGCACCGAGAGAAGCTTGCCCATTAGAAACCTTGAAGGCACCAGATTTCCCCTGTGACATCTGCATCATGTGTACTTTTCAATTTGGTAACAAGCATCTCCACTTACTTAGCTAGTAGAGCAACAATGTTATCAAGGCCCTTGCTTGTTTACAGGTATGTAGGAAAGCAGAAAGAGATGTGGCCAAGACCTGTCAAAGATGCACTTTTAAAAATGTGTTTCTCTACTTGGCAAGGAGTACAAATCTAAAGAAAGCAGTTTAAAAAATTATTTAAACTCATTTACACAAACTGCCTGCACCACAACAGGAGGATCAAATTATGAAGTCTCCAGAGCCAAAACGAGAATCTCTGGCCTCATTTCCATTACTGAAATCTCAATAGTTTCTACTATTGATTCTTGGCTGACCGTGATTAGATTTTAATGATGTTCTGTGGTCTCTACCTACACAGGCATAGCAGCAAACCATTGGTCAAGATGAATTAATCAGGACTTACACGTCTGGCTGCCACAGGCATCATATCAAACATTTTGCAACTGGTGAACGTGCCAGCTGACTGCTGTGCCTGAGAACGCTCCAAATGGAAACCCTATCTGCAGTGATTTGCTGCCAAGGGTGGGAGGGAAGCAGCAGGCAGTACCACTCAAGTCAGTCTGCTGGGCATCTCTCCTTTCCAGTGATGGAAGCCTTGATGTCTGGCAGTTGTCCCTCAGCCTCTGACAAAAGTGAGGGGCAGGCTGGGTCCAGTCCTCCAGATGGTATAGCCGTAATTGTCAAAGCAGATGGTTCTGCTTAGGTTTGTGTACTGTACTCATTTCCCTGCTATCTACTTTAAAGCAGCAATGCCAAGTGAGTCTGTTGAAGTTACTCCTATGTGGGTGACCTATGCAAGTGCAGAGGCAAACAAGACCTGGGGTCTACTCTGCTCCATACCCTGCTACAGATCCCTGACGAACGTGTGACAAGGGTGCTCGCACGGAGTTGCTCCAGCACAGCTCTCAGCAGCAGGGGCAAGTTTCTGCTTCCCTGGCCCAGGAACCGGCCTCTTCCCACAATGGCGTGACTCAAAGGCAGGCCCCTTTTATGCCAGAGATATACTCGCTGCCAGCCCTGCAAATGAGAACCGAGGCCCCATCTTGGGCATACTCCCCATCAGACTGGTTTCAGCCCTGGGTGAGCAGCACCGGCACCTCTCACTGTGGGCTTCAACATGGTGCCTCTGGGGTGGGCCACAGTATGTGCCTGTGCAGGTCCCCTGATCCAGGACACTCTCACCCCACAGCCCTGCACACACCGGCAGAGCTGTAAGCTGCTCCCCTTTGCACAGGCACGCCAGTCTGAAACTGCTTCAGAGACCTCTGGAGTAGGATGCTCTATCTGATGGCAAGTTGGGTGTGAGCTCTGTAATTACTTAAGTGGCAATTATGTAAGCACACAGTGCCCCTTCCTTGGCATATGCATCCTACCATACAATGTTCTGTGTCTATAATCAGTGCTCATGGCTTTCATCTGCCTGTGTTTTAGTGCCTTATACAGCAGAGACTGAACACAAAACCTCTTAAAAATTTTAAGCTGTTAACAGCTTCCTGCAGCGAGCATGTATGTGTATGCATGTCTGCGTGCTCACCCCATTGAACCTTTCCATCCTTTCTCGTTGGATCTGTCTCTACCACTGCAGTTCATTCTCCCCCACCCCAAGAGCTGCAATTCATCTGCTGTAGTGTATATATAGCCCTTTCTGCCCTCGGGCCATCCAGTATCTCTGCCTACTGCTGAGAATTGTTATAAACATTTGTTATTCTTCCGACATCCAGGCAACCAAAATACTTTTCTAAATGTGGCAAGGTTTCTGCAGTTTGACAGCATCACTCAGTGATGGCAAACAGTACTGTTATTTCTCTGTGTCCAATTTCAGAGCACCGAGGACAACATGCACATTACAAGGAGTTGGTAATTAAACAAGAAAAGCATCTCTGAAATTCTTGACGTTTCATAACCTGTCAGAAGTGCTGGCACACAAATATATCACAAGGCAAGAAACTCCCGTAGAAGAGCATTAGTACCCTGTCTCTACCTCCACAAGGAAGCCAAGAGTTAAGACTAGAGCTCTGAAGCTTCCCTTTCAAATGCAGACACCAAACTGATGGGTGAGCCATAACTCCGCAGGCACAGAACTGCTGTGCATTCCAATGCTTCTCCTGTTAATACTCTATCTCCTTTTTGAAGCTTTTACTTTTCCAATCCCAAATTTCCAAATGCACATGCCTGAAGTCAGGCACTTAAATCCTTATTTATGATGCCTGTCATATGCAGCTGGCTATTCACAGAAGCAGACTGACAATACCAACTGAATTAAGAACCATGAGCATCTCCAAAAAAGAAAACAAACCAGGAAGTTTAAGTATCTCCAAGCAGGGTAAAGAGCCACATTTGCAACAGTTATACCTGGTTTATAATAATGAAAAAAATGAACTGACTTCAATACTATTCCAAAGTTGTACTTAGATTAAATCAGTATGTGCTAGAAAAAGATGGAAACTTGCCCTGTGTATTTCAGTATTAAAAGCTTGAAAGCAGACACGGCCAAGTTAAATATCTTCACTGGGAGTTAAACATCTTCATTAACACTTTCACTGATGAACACCTGAGAAGAAGCAGTCATCTAATGCCTCATCTAGAGGGTAATAATTAATCTGAAAAGACAATGCATTCCACATAAATAAGCCAACAACAGTTTAAGGTGAATGACAGATTATTCCCTATCACAAAAACCCTCCAAATTTTGTCTATAAATGCAGCAGTCACCGTACCCATCATAAGCAGTTCACAATTTTAGATACAAATCATCAAGAGCTGATTTTTCAGATACAAATCAAGCAAGATGATATTTAAAAAGAGGGAGAAACTAGCTTTACCATCAGTACTTGCTTGAGAGGTCCATGATAGCACTTGCTTAAAGAAGCAAGGATAAAAAGAACAGCCAGACCTCTCCACTTTTGACTCAGGGGTACACCAAAGCAGAACCCTTTTGGTGACTACACTCAGGTGAATTATATCCTTTTCCACATGCTAATGCTTGGGAACATAGACCTTACTGTCCCTTAGTACCTAGTAACTGATACTCTCAGCTTAACTGCAAGCCATGGATTAGCTCCCACTGACCTTTCACTCAGGTCTGACTCGAACTGTGAAATTGAGATCTAGTGTCCAGTCTGTTCAGAAGCAGGATTTATTTAATTGACTTCAGTTCACATGGCTTAAATCTACTATTTGGCTTGTGCTCCCTTCTAACACTGAATATGCAGATATATCTATAAGACTATATACACACGATGCACTTTCATCTATTATATGTATATAGTATAGATACAAAATTTGTCCTTCATCAACAGTCTAAATAATTTCCTTTTGAAGCAACCTATGTACTGGTACATACTGATTATGGAATTGTTATGTGAATGGAGTAAGTGGCCACAGATTCAACATACAGTAAAATCAAAAAGGTACTTACCTGCTTTGCTGCTGTAGAAGAAATTTCTTTTTTTTCTAGAAGGTTCAGAAGGTCAGCCAGGAGAAAAGGACTGACTGGGCTACAGAAAAAGGGGGCAGAAATTACCTCAGAGAATAAGGTAAAGTAATATATCTAGGCTACTGTTGCTTGCCTAAAGATCACATGGTTTAACATGACAAGCTAGTATTTTTCCTCATGATACACTACATTCAACTATGGTATTGATAGCCTGACTATGCCTTACCATTCTCATATTCCAAAGAGGGAAGACTGATCACTATTCTTAACTACATGGTCCTCTTCTCTGCAAGGTATTTGGTTAACTTCATTCAGCAGGATAGCATCAAGGCCTACACAGTACTGCCTAGTGTAACAAACTTCACAGATAATAACTAAAGCAGAAGTGAGCAATGGAGTGACATGATACTATTCATGGTACATGAGAAAAGAATCACTTTTGTTTCACCATTGTAGAAGCCTGACCTTTCCTTCACTGTAAGGGAATGTTGTTTCAAATAACTGAGCAGGTCATTTAGAATCCAGCCGATCACTTTCTTTGGCTTCATTTGGGTCTGTTTTACCACGTTCTCAAAGAATTCTGTTAATCCATCTTCATTCTGCTCAAGAAAAGTAAATGCATCAAAAAGATACCAGAGTGCAAACATGATTAATTATACAATTACATTTGGAGTATAAATACTCAATCCTAAAGTAAACTTGGTTTTGTGAATTCATTGCAAAGTCACAAGACTTTGGAGTAATTTTATTAACATAACAGCAAACAAACTATGTTATGCCTATGTTATAGGTACATAGAGCTTATCTGCCAGCCTGTTTCAATGGAACTTTCAATAAACGAGCAATCTTCTTTCTCTTAAGTCCTCCCTAAAATCAGCATTTGGGGAGAAGCTTTCTCATCTTCTCATGTGTTTTAAGTACGGATAATGCTAGAAAATATAATGCTGCCATCTAACAGGCTGTCATGCCATCTTTTACCAAGAAGAGAGTTCTCCTGAAACTGTCTACAGATATTTCACTCTTGATCTTGGAATCACTTCTATTTATTTTGGATTGAAGGAATAAGTTTACCTTGCATTCACCCTTCAATGATTTGGAAAGGTCATACTGTAAGAAGCAGGATTTTATTTTTCTAGTTTTTTCAGAGAAGCTATGTAAGCTTTTCCACAGCACCCTAAATGCTCAGAAGCTATGACAGTAGCGGATTCAATTTATAGCCGAAGTGAAATCTGAGATTGTTTTTAGAAGAACAGATAACCGCACGGTCTGTTGAATGCTGTGCTGTTTGTCATCAAGGCATTGATGGATCTTTAACTGTAGCACAGAACTCATTAGGTCTACTGAAGGCTGAAGGGATAAAAGTGGCAGCTCCAACCTTTTCAAGGAGGAATCCAAATCCAGCGTGCCAGTGGACTACTGCAGTGTGCAGCATAAACGCACAGGAGGACAACCCAGCTCTCAGAAGTTGAGAGGCAGCAGTTTAGAGACAGCCAAGGAGCTATTCTAAGTATACTGCCACCACAGCAAAAACATTTCTCAAGCACATACTGACTGCAGCCAGATCTCCGAACAGTTCCGAGCAAAAAGAGTGCAGGTACGCACTAAACCAAAGCCTGACTCTTCCACTCAAACACATCCCATCAAAAGAGTCTCATTTGCCCTTGTTTTTAAAGGCAATTTATCACCATAGCAATACAGAATTTTAGACTTTCCTCCACAAAACTTTCAGAACACAAACTTCCAACAGCTCTAGATACCACATTTTTCATCAGTAATGATGTATGGCTTTTCAGAAGACTGCAGACTACTGCTCTCTCTTCTGTGAAACAGAACAAAATGTACTTAGATTAATGGTTCATATGTGCTGTAAAACCAGTCTGACAAAAATCAGACCCATCCTCCTTACCTTGAGACAGTGAGCAAAGAAACCAAGTTCTCAGCCTAGGAAAGCCACTGACATCTTCTGTCAACCAAGGTAAACCCGGTTTACAACCCCCCCTAGTTACCCCATACACACAGACATAATTCCCTTAATTTCCAGTGTCTTATAAATTTAACTAGCAGTTACTTTGTAATCAAATTATGTAAAATCTAAGGCTAAACAGACTAGAGGAACAAATCTGGCTTAAAAAGTAAAGGAATGACATGATTACCAAAGTACAGTAAACTTGATTAAAAACTGCATGTGTATTAAGTGGAATTACTAAAATGATGCATTACTAAATACTGTACTCTAATTCACCTCAGGATTCAATAGTACAACCAAACACTGATTATTTAAACAGCAGGTTCTCTTCCACAAAAACACCTGTTCAATTTAGGTAGGAAGAAGTGAGCACATATAAATGCTCATTTCTTTACACATGCTGCAGAAGATTTTACAAACACTCCAGGCGGAGTAGATCTAGCTACAACATTATGCACATGAAAACAATGTCTGCGGATGCCACATGTCTGAATGCAGGCCACAAAACTCAGACGCAGCATGTTTGAAACTTTCATCATGTATAGGCTAGAAAGCATATCTCTAGAAGTGAGCACGTTCAGATTTCTGGATACCAACAGCCTGGCTGCAGCTACAGGTCTGACCCTGCTGCCAGACCTTTGAAAATCAAGGACAAACATACCTAGCCTTCACATTTTAATCAGATTACTTCCAAGGCAGCAAGAACAGAAAAGCCCAGGAATGCTCAGACAGACAGACTTACATATGCTACCAGGTACCGAACCCCATACTCACTACTTGTGCACGTAAACCCATACATATTCCCCAAAATTCCTTTGCATTTTGTTGTAGGTTTTTTAAAGTGACTGTCATTTTCTGTAGCCAAAGAGTAGGAAAACCCAGCAATGCTAGACTGAAATGAATAAGGCAGAATGTCAAAACATGAAAATGACTAACAGAAATGAAACATTTTCCTTAATTTCTTGCCATATTAGAAAAATGCAGGCATAACTTGATTAGCTTCAATTTCTAGATACTATACTACTTGAACTTTGATTTTTTACTTTAATTTGTTTTGCATTTTGGTCAACTTTCTTCATGCCAAATTCACTCCAACTATGCCCCCACACACACCTGTCCCTTGTGATAGATCTGAGCTGAAAACCACCACATGCTCTAACATGCTGGTGTACAGTAATGCTAACTGACTGTTCTCACTTAATTATGAATAATGTATTTTAATATTCATAGAAGGAAAACCAGAAATCTGGAATTGCAGCACCATGTTTGTGATCCAGGCCCACTTGGTGCTCCTGTTACACACCAAATATGCTGTAACTTATTCACTAGAGTCTCACTGGCATGAAATCTGACGCACCAATATTTCAACCAGATGCAAATTTCTTAAATATGGTTTAAAACTATCATTTAATAGTACTGAGATGTCTAAAAAACTAGTGGTGGAGTGATTTCAGATGCTTTTTAAAGAAGTTTAAAACAACACATTATTTTACAGAATACCATGGGTACAATATTTAGGGACATTGGGTCTGTAATACAAACTTATGCTTTTAAAGACCAATAATGTTTCCTGAAGAAGAAAACTACATCAATGTTCACGAATAAAATTTCATTTTCTGCTTTCTTATTCCCATTTTCACCACCACAGTTCCCACAATAACCAACTGTGAGGTAACAACTGCTGCAAAAATGTGCAAGACTGTCAGGGGGAAAAAAAACCCAGCAAATCTAGCCTATTAAAGCAGACAAGCAGAGCAGTCAAAGAGTTCAAACTTTTTCCTACAGCTTCTTATAAAATGATTTAAGTTCTAAAAATAAGCATAAATTCACCTCCACACCAACATGTATGAGGACAGCGTGTCATAAACTCAATGGTCAAAACCTTGTACAGCATCCCACTTTTGACTGTTTGAAGGATTCACCAATGTAATTGTTCCACCAAAGCAATAAGCCAAAGCCCAACTGGAATGGCCTGACTAAGCAGAGGAACAGTAAATGCACAGGAAGACTTGGAATTCTGATGAGAACGGAAGTTATCAGACTGTTTTTTTTCTAATGCTGTACTATGACAACTGATCTATTTTTTGGTTGGACCTCCCCAGACTTCAGCATACTTTTTGAAAACCGTCACATTAAGGTCTACGCCAAAACATCTTATTTTTTTGACTCAATAGGAAGCAAGACAAAAATATTATAATACCGTAACCGCAAAGTTGTCAGAGATCCTTCTTGACTGAAGTATTTGCCAGCCTACCAGTTTACACAACAAAGTAGAAATTGCATGCAGAAATTGAGTATCCAAATACCATGGAGTCTACATGGCTCAAAGAATTGTATCTTTACGAGTTAAGAACAGTTCTGCATGAAGACAATCAGAAACTTCTTTGCAATTTATACAAAACTGTCAAAAATGCAGCAGTTTACACTTAAGAAATTTCAGATATAAAGATATTAATAGGTAATGCTCTCCTTCCATTTCACTACATCTTGTAATTAGGCAAAGCAGGAGTCTCATTCTCAATACTGCAGTACATACAGGCAGCAGCTATTGTATATGAGAATAAAGCTCATGAAGCAAGCTCGGAAACTAACTTGCATGCTGAAGTACGGTATTGTCTTATTATAACTTTGGTGCATAATGTTTTCTCTAACAAGTTGGCGCAGAACAGGGATTTTGCATTTCAGAGTCATCCCTCTACCACTGCCATTTATTTAATGAGCACTCCTGGGTGCTCTAACTTGAAAGAATGCTCATTAGATTTGTGCATCTGGCCCTATCAGCAATCTTCTGCAACTTCTGATGTAAGCTTAACATGGCAACGGACATACCATTTTCAGATGAATTAAGGTTAACTAGTCTCCTAGTGAACAGGCAAGCAACTTTTATGGAGAGTATACATGCTGACATTCTAATGCACAATAAAAGAAGACCAGCAATGAAGAACACATTCACTTCATGCATTCAAATGGATGCATTATCTTATTACAAGCTGAATCCCAAATTTCAGCTTGGAGCTCATTAATTGTCTTACATGCTGCAAAAAGGAAAAAAAGTTAAAAGGGAAAAAGCAAAGGCAATAGTGGATTTCAGTGAACAGGTGGAAAGGAAGGGCAGTTGATGAGGCAAATATATATGGCTAGTTGATAGAGGCAACAGAAACCACACAGCAGAAGCCCTCAATACTAGCAAAATTGAAATGCACAAGAAGTGGGCTGATGCCAAGTGAAAGGAGTGGGTGTACCAGGTCTGGCTGGGATGGAGTTTATTTTCTTACAAGCAGCCTGTAGGGTGCTGTGTTTTGGATTTGTGACTAAAGCAGTGCTGACAACACACCGGTGTTTTGGCTACTGCTGAGAGCAGTACTTTCTCTTTTTCCCACTCTGCCCCCCACAGCGAGCAGGCTGAGGGTGGGCACAAAGCTGGGCGGGGACACAACCTGGACAGCTAACCCAAACTGATCAAGGGGATATTCCATGCCATATAATGCCCTGCTCAACAAGGAAGACTGAGGGAAGGGCATTCTGGGGGAGGTGGTCTTTGTCATTGGTTGGAGACTGGTTGGGCATCAGTCTCCTTGTGGGAGGTGGTGAGTGATTGCATTTGCATCACTTCTGGGTTCTTCCCTTCCTTTTTCCTTCACTTATTTAAGTGTCTTTATCTCAAACCATGAGTTTTCTTGCTTTTGTGCTTCCTATTCTCTTCCCTGTCACACTGGTGGGGGGGAATGAACAAGGAGCTGTGGTGCTTAGCAGCAGGCCAGGGTCAACTCACCAGAGGGGAGGAAGAAGTAAAAAACGTCAGAAAAAAGGGGTCAGGACCTATCTACCCTTCTGAGCTCTGTTTATTTCAATATGTGAGAAATATGTTGATGTGAAAAAATGCATGCATGGACAGGAATACTAACTGTGAAATCACATTTTGCAGTTATACAATGAAATAGAAAGGTAAGAACTACTGACACCTCTCAACGCTACCACTGCAGCCTCATGACTTTGATGAGACTTATGACTCACCTGCCCACCAAACAGTAAAAGATCTGCAACTCACTAAAATGGCACAGCACCACAAAAAGCGGTTTTCCTAACAGCTTTCTTCAGAGGAAAGAACCATTTTTATTTTTTTCCATAGAACCAGCTTCTGTACAAGTGTATAAACTAGAGACGCACAAAGGAGGGATCTTAGCTAGTTAAGTTAGGTGCACTGCTCTCCCTCCATTTATAGTCAAAGGAAAGGAACTCCTCCAGAGGACAATTTAAAGTATTTATGGTTCCGCCCTGAATCTTACTCTAAAGAAGTCCTTTTCCTTCTGTCTCCACTAATTGCAGAAGGTAACCAAAGCAGGACACTGTCCTAGATTAGCTGACTATGTGAAATGTCTAATCTTGGGTGGGTATACTACTCCCCACACAGAGTTATCATTGCCGAACAGAGATAATGCAGTTTGTATTTAAGAAGCTCAAACTCCTTTAGAATAATTTTGGAAGTTAAGAGATTTTTCTGTCAATTCCTTACCTATATCCATATCTTGATGAAATCTCATGCTGTGCCACACTCTTTTCCTTCTCATCCCCTCTTCTGAACCTATCCCTGGTAAATTGCATTGTGAGGTCAAAGTTGACGTTGTACAGCCATTTTGTGTATATACCTGAGAATAAGTCTTTTTTTTTCTTTTTTTCTTCTTTTTTTTCTTTCCTTTTTTTTCTTTCTTTTTTTTTTCCCAAAATAATGTGGAAGCCAGATCAATGGGCAAGTGAAGCTGAAAGATTTAAACTTTGGGTTTTGCTTCTGCAGTCAGGAAAACATATCTATTAATTTGTTAAATACTGACAATGTGCCCAGCCTTGTACCAGACCCAAAGACAAGAAGAGCAGGCACCTGCAGACAAGGGTTTGTCAGCAGGAAGTTGTACATTTGTTGCAATCAGTCACAGGTGCATGCATGTGTAGACAGAGAAGATCAATATTAAATAATAGTTGTTTGACTGCACCTTGCATAAGAAACACTTCTATGCACACTGGCTATGGTTTCTTTTCCCCACCATTCTATGTATATGTCCAAGGTACAAAGTATGCATTGGACATATTTCCAACTAAAAAACATCCATGAGAACTGCCAGCTGGTTAATATGACATTTGTAAATCTTTTCAAAAAACGTGCAACTTTGAAGTTGCTAGACTTATTTTTGCACTTGATCAATAGACCTACCAATAAGGTGAAGCTGTGTTCAGGAAGAATCCCATACTGTTCAACAAGCTTTGCTCTCTTCACACTGGGGAGGTCAGGCAGTCTCTCATGAATCCAGTCAATATTTACCACTTGCTGATGGTTCATATTAGCTGGCAAAGATTTCGCATCATACAGAATCAATGGAGGAAGGTTTGGCTCTGGCATAAACCTAGTAAAAATGGAAAAAAAAACCCCAAAACAACAAAAAAACAAACCCCCAAACCTTTATAATTATTTTCACTCAGAAGCTAAACAAAAAGGAATAAAATTTATATCACAAGTTTATACTTACCTGGAAGTTGTATTACTGTTTCAAATGAACAAAATATTAAAAACTCATGCCTTGGCTGTATCATCATTAAGCAGTAAGAGATCAATCCCTGAAAAGCTGCAAAGCCTCTATTTTCTTTCTCTGAGTATTGTCCAAGAGTGGATGATAGAAAAGGGGTGGTTAACACTTCTGCACCCAAAATAATAATTAAAAACCCCAATAAAACCAATAAGAATAGATATGGAAACAACTCACTCCTTTTGGTATCAAGCATGAATTGTGGATCCGGACAAAAATGGGAGTGGACTGGCAGGGAAAAACCCAGATTGACAGCCAACTGCCCGGAGTGATCTGGGCAGGTTGTAACCTTTTCCAGACTAACTTCAAAAATCTTGATGAAATCTCATGCTGTGCTAAAAGCAAAGTTACTGTGCTCAGCAGGGTGCCATCACAGAACAAAAGCCTCCCTTAAAGAGAAGGCCAATTGAAACCACTGGAATAAATGCAATTGAAGCAGAACCTTACTCTTACATGATCAAATGAGGGGTTCAAAAATATCAGAATAAAGGACATTGGGACATTTACTATAATAATTTCTATTTCAAATCTGCCTAAACATAGATTTTAAGTTTAATGTATAAAGTGCAGCAGTAAATTACAAAAAACCTGAAAAACAAAGTTTAATACTGATCATAACCTTAGTAATAATCTTTCTGGTCTTTATTTGAAATATCTCAGGCTCACCAGTTTTGCCTACATTTTCATGAATTTTCTTTTGCTTTTTTCGAATTAGTCTTGTTAAATAAGCCTCATGCCAGCCCCTACCAAAATAAGGAATTCACAAAATGATCACTGACTTTTCTGCTGCATTTCTACAAACAGTAATTTAAAAAGCAGATTCAAATTTAAAGTTTGTGGGATGTTTTCAAAATCCTTGCTCTGCTCTAGTAAGATCAGTGGTAGAATACATGTAGATCTAACAGGAACACAGATATGGCAAAGCTAAGGGGCTCTGAAAGTTCTTCTGCAGAACTACAATTCTCCAGCTGGGAAGTGAACTCTGGGAGTAACAGGAAGACTGTCTCTGGGATGCAAAGCTAGGCACTGGGAGGACCAGCGCTAAGATGGCCCTAACCAGGGGAGGAGGCAGGCACGCACAGAACAGGAAAACGGGTGCCCAGAGCAATCAGCAATCACTGAGCTGCATCACTCTTCCCCATCTCATCCAGACACCACTGTGATTACCTCTTGTCCTAAGGGGCTGAGCAGCTGTGCTGCTGTTTTGCAGCTTTGCCCCAGCACTTGTTCCCAGCAGCATTTCTTCCTACAGGACTCATGGCTTGTCCCCTCACCCTCTGTCTAAATCCTTCTCGGGTGGCTGTTTATGGTTTGATGGCTGTCATCTCACACAGGTAGAAGACAAGAATTACTTAGCAAGGTAACAGCTTCATTAGGTCTACAAAGATCTTAAGGTAGATACCTGCCTATGAATGCTGACACCTTTCGATAGTAGTTAGGATTTTCAGACAGTGATTGTAATCTATGATCACAGAATTTAAGCATGGGGAGGCTCGGCCTGCTATCTGAAAAACATTTCCCCTCAGTATTTTCTTAAACTGGGAGCAATGCTTAACTCAGAATATTCTTACGTTTTATGTCTGGCATTCTTAATATTGCAGGTATAGTGGCCACAAAGTAACCTTCAACTTACCCACTTTGAGCTAAGGTACTCCAGCTTAGTTTTGGGGAAAAGTCTATGGGTTTTAGCAGACATGAGACACAGCTGTAGATCTGAACTGCTCAGACTAGCACTGATTTTGATAGGTCTCTTCCCCTTCCAGTTGAAGGTAAACTTCCAATACATACTCACTATGCTGACAAACTTTATATGCTCATTACCCTGACTACACTTAAGAAATGAAATACATTCTCAGTTCTTGAAATGTTAACTTTATTAAAAAATTACCGATAATCCTGTTTTCCTTCTTTGTCTCTCATTGGTACAGTGCACCTAAAATAAAAACAAAACAAGTAAGATGTGGTAAGTGGTACACCACAGAATTAGTTTTATGGTAAAAACACAAAACAAAAACTTTGCCTCATGAAGATCAGGAGAGCTTCTTAAGGCCACTTCAAAGAATGTATATATGTAAGAAGGCAGTCACTTTCACACAGACACTGCTTGATGTAGCACACAATCTGTTGTGAAAAAGCCTCGACTTTAGTAATAAATTACTATCTGTGAGGAGCCTATGCTTGTGAACATTAGCTTTAGAAGACAGAAGTTCAGCAATACTACATTACCTCTCCTGATCATGTCACTAGGTATCCCTGGCACACCAAAGCTGCTATTCCTGATGTTCCTCCAAAATAAAAACTCACCCAAGCTTGGAATCAAAGGCCCTTGTTTCATTCAGAATTGTTCCTCCATTTTCAAGTTCTTCAATTTGCCTCTGTATTTCATAGTCTGACAGAAACAAAAGAAAAAACAATAAGCTTGTTATACTGCACTATTAGCTTTTGTATACTCCACTATTTCGCTTTTCAATGCTATGCAGTAATGGAATAGTTTGTTGTTTGAACCTTAATGAAATAAACAACAGTAGTTACAGGCAGAATTATCAGTCACTGTCCCTCTCTCCAGCACTGTTTTTTTCTTTGCATGTTTTCCTCATCTTCTTTTATTCCCTTTAAATAAAAAACATTTTCTCCCAGACACTGCAGCCAAGCCGTACATTCGTAGTGACCTTCCTATCACCCAGCTGAGTTTTCTTTTGGAGATGTAATAATCATCCTTTCTTGCTTGTACCTGAGCTGCATCTGAACTTCATCCACACCACCTACCGTACTCAGCCGAAAGCAATCATCTACATTGAAGGACACAGCTACTGCTAACAGATTTCAGCAGTAAACATGCTCGGCATTGAATCATCTGCTTTACTCTTCTTGTAGGCAGAGGGTTACCTCTGCAAGAAAACTGCAGAGTAACAAGGCTGCTGTCCCCACAGTACCCCACACAAAGATTTATTCTGTCAGGGAGCAGCAAGAGCAGGGCTGCTCCACAAGGGGTGACAAGCCAGGAGCTGAGGGTGACCACAGCATGCTGGTGGTCTGAACAGCATGGGCAGAGGCATGTGCTATTAACAGGGTCCACTGACAGTCTCAGTCAAGGTGAGGGGATGCGTTGGGTCCAGGATCCATCCAGGGAGTTCAGTCAGAAGCAGCAGGAGATAAGTCCAGAGACGGGACTGGGAACAAGACTACAGAACAGGTCCAAGGTCCAACAGGAGACAGGACTGAAAACTGGCACACCTGTGATGTAGCTAAGGCAAAGTCTGAAGGCCCCAGCCTGAGCTTAAATGGGACTTCTGGACCCATGGGGAAGGTGCATGGATGGGACACCCAGATGAAGCTAGTCAGTGCATTTAGGGCCAATTACTACACTCAGAAGCCTGACATATTTCATGTCAGACCACAAAAAATATCTACAATGCTCCTATAATGAAGCAACCATCATTTACCTACTGCTTTTGCCAGGAATCGTATGCTATTGATATTCTTCACTTCAGTCCTCACTCCATAAGGCTCTCCAGGGTGATGCACAGAAACATTGGCATCCACTCTCAGCTTACCCTCTGTAAAAGGAAACTTCATCAACAGAATAGTCTGCCCTGGAAACTAGCGTAAAAATGTTGTCATGCATTAATAAACTGTATGCTATGTGCAGAGCATTAATAGTAGACTTCCATGTGTTCAGAAAGGAGTAACAACCATGTCATCATAGTGTTCTGCTTGTGATTCCATCTCAAGACTCTGCCTCTAATCATTCAAAATTTTCTGAGAATACTACTCTTGAAAAAAAAATTACTGCTCATAATTCCTCTCAGAGAAAACTGCATGGTGCAGTGCAGCACAGATCCTCTAAGCCATATAGTGATTCTGATTCACAGCTCTTCAATAAAGGGCAGAATTAGACAAGCAATTTGAAGTGGTGATTGTGAGCTTCCATTCCTCTAAAAACAGCACAAAAATACCTTTTGGAATTACAATTTGATGGACATATACTACCCTAGCATAGAACACAAGAACTTACAGTTATGTTGAACAGATTTACTAAGGTGTTCTTGGAAATTTACAGCTCAAGGACAAAATGTGAATAGTAGTGGATTTTTTTGTAATTTTCTTCCTTTCCTTCAAGAAACTGCAATCTGCCCTGCCCCCCAAATTTCCCTGGTTACCAAAAACTGAAACTGAATACAAAGTTATATATAAAAGCATCCTGCACTTTTAGTCCAAAATGGAACAATGTCCTTAGAGATCTTTAATGACTCAACCACAAGTAACTCGTAATTGTATCTTTCTAAGTTTTATCTGTCTAAAGACATCCCTTCTGAGAAGAAAAGGCTTGTCACAGTTATTCAACTAGTTGGAATAAACCACCAGGAGGGGTTATACTAAAGAGAAATATGATTTTTCCCATATTGCACAGTGAACATCTGTAGCCTTCTTCTTTGGTTTTGGTTGGTTTATTGTTTCTTTTTAATTTCAGAGATAAAAAGAAACAAACACTTACTGCTTAGATACAGTAGCATTATTAAAGAGAGCACAAAATAACTTGGACTTAAACCTGTGAAGACATCTACCGCTTCAGAATCCATTCTGGTCAATAGATGTAAATTGACTAGAGAGGTCTCTGTACACTTTGTAAAAGTAGGCTGGATGATAGTGCACTAATTTCCTCTGCCTTCATAGAGTCTTGCCAGACATGCAAATGAAGGACAAAGGTTCTGGAATGTCCCAACAACTCTTTGAAGAAAAGTGTTTTGCATGTGCTCCCTCTTTGAGGTGAAATGAGTACTTGCTCTAAAAGAAGAATAGTCTTGTCCCGCCCTTGCTTCATTTTGAGACATGACCTGCTTCTACTTGGATGTAGGTGTCAATGTGACAAGACAATGAAGTTAATCAAGCATAAGTGAAAGGAGAGCCAGGTCCCAAATGTTCTTAAAAAAGCTTTTTTTCTTTAAGCCCAGCTTCTTTTCCTTTCACTTTGCAATGAAATCATCTTTTCATCTGTTTGTTGTTAATGAAATAACACTGATGAAACCAGGCACTTGTCTTCACTGAACACACCAGTAGAATGAAGGTAAAATATGAGCATGTAAAGCCCTTATTCGAAAGAAAATAATTATAATGAGAGAAAACCACAGTAGAAAGCCCCTAAACACCACATCGAAAAAAAATCCAAATACTTTTAAAGCCAACTATACCGGAGGAAAAATATTCCAAACACTGGAATTCTCCTCCAAAGTCAGAAATCTCACTGCAATAAAAGATATCATACTGCAATTCCAATGGCAATCTTAGGGCCAAATTCAGTTGTGATAAATGATGGTGTATGTGTATGTTCATGAAGGCCTTTGAAGAAGCATGCAAACTGGCTGTTTAATATTAACAACTGTGCCCCATTTGACATGCGTAACACTAGTGAGAGAAAAGATTCAGAAACATATATAATGTCTAGCAATTATAATTTCCCCCTACATTAAATTAGATTTGCATCACTAGCCAACATTTATTGGATCCTGTTTATTGAGTAATACATGGACCACTCTGACTCAGTTCCCCAGGAGATGCATCCACTTATACTATGGACTGAATTTGTTGCCAGAACAGCAAGGCCAACTGTCACAGGCAAAAATATGGCTTACATTGTGAACACTAATAGGTAGCTTATAATTGGCTGTATGTGTGGAGGGGATGAATGCCCAAAACTGTACTTTTAAACTCTCAAGCAGAAGCCTGCTATTTGCTAGCTGTAACCATGGGCTGGTTGTAAATTTTGGTAACATTAGGACTAAGCAAAAATGGCATGACCTGAATCCTCCAGTTAACAGAGAGACATGAGACAGCATCACCTGTTTGGAGGCTGATCACACGCTGTGCTTCTGTACATCACCTATTGCAAAGACTGGGGCCTTAGGGTTCCAGAAAGAAGAGCTGGTGTCAAAAGCAGGGGTTCCCAAAAGAGGAAGTGGTCTCAGAAAGGTAGCAGTGATCTTGGCTAGAGAGATCCTGCAGGTGGGGGAGGATCCCAAAGATCAGAAAGATGCATGGAGACAAATGCCAGGGAACACCTAGGACCTTGGCCTCTTAACACCTGCGACCAGTATCTGCAAGCCTGCTGCACTGCACAAACAAACACAATTTTCTGGCCTGCGTCCCCAAACCAGCAGTGATCTCCTTAGTGGGAAGAGAAATTGCAACCAAGTGAACATAATGCTGGAGGGGAGGGAGAGACAGAGTGATTGTGTGAAATGATCAAGTAGGGTAAAAGCTGCAGACTCGCTGGTTCTTAAATTAACCCCGGCACCCGTGTCTGCTATGCACTGTCATTTACTCCATCTCACCCATGATGCCAGCACAAGTTTACTGCCTACACCCATTTTATGACTAGCTGTGACCTAACATGCAACTTATAAGATGATCCATGCTCCCACTACTTTGTCCCATAACTTCTATAACTAATTCTTACTACAGATCTTCTGTGCTGCAGTCCTGTGGCAAGCAAGAGAAGACAGACAGGGAGAAACACCACAAGAACCCTGGGGACATTCCTTCCTGCCTAGGTTTATCCTGCAAAATTATTGTGTGAGGCAATATAAAATCTAGCACTGCAAAGCTCTGCGGATGAAGGCAGGCCCGTAAGAACACCTGAAGCATGGCAGACATTAGGACAGACTGAGGATTCCAAGAACAACAGCTAGAAAAGGCTATGCATTATAAGCAACCACAGAGTAAAATAACCAGAAGCTGCAAAACTCTGCAAATGCAGAGAATAACTGGTGACAAGGGAACATGCCCTTCCCCCTTCTGTACCTGCCATGACTGCCTGGCTGCTCCCAAGTGTTTGAAGAATGAGCTGAAGCTCTCTGACTGCTGCAGCTGCTTCCTCCCCACAGCACATATCAGGCTCCATGACAACCTCCATGAGGCCAACTCCTATCAGGGAAAGAGACAGGAGATTTTCAACAATAGCTTTTGATCTTGGCATATTAGAGTGCAACTGGCTAAACACATGAAAGCACTTGGGCTTTTTTTGAAAAAAATAAACCCCCATGTATTATTTAGTAACTGTCACTATGGGCCTAGCTGCAGATTGCTATAAAAACTTACCCTCCTATTTTTTTAAAGAAGCAGACAAACTGCAGACAATCCTCCACCCTTTGATGACATGCAGATCAGAAGAACACATTCCTCTTCTGCCCTTCTCCGAGAGAACCCCCATTTAAAGCTAATCCAATTCCAGATTCAAATTTTTTACCTTAACCTAATTTTGGAACAGAGAGAACTGTAAACAGATGTAGTCTAGTTTTTAGCTTCAGGATCCAGCTCTCAAAGAATATGAGCAGCCACAGCCCTTAACTTCAGTGGACACTGTAGCACTGTGTCCCAGTCAGGCTAGGCCATCCAGGTTGCTGCCCACGTTGTGTGCTAATTTGGTTCATTCCATTTACAATTTCAAAGTTTGAAGAGAAAATCTACATTTTTTCAAAGCTAATAATTAAAAGAAACGTCTGACTCATGCACTGATGAATTCCAACAGCTGCTCCTTCTATACACAAACTTGATTGACTAGGTCTGTGATTTTTTTTTTATTTTTTTTTTTAAACAACAACGGATGCAGTGGCAAGAGCTTAAATAGCTGAGTGGCCATGACTGACACATACAGTTTTGAACAAACTGGAGCCAACAGATTCCTAACTTGCTATAGCCAATTGCCATCAACCAAAAGCAATGGGAAAGGTCCACTGCCCATTAAAACATTCAAGTATTCCCCTGCTTCAAGTGTAATGGTCATTTTGATGCATTTTTATTTTCAAGGAGAGAGACATCAGGCTGTTTTTATTTTTCACCTCTTCCCTGTCACCCATTTACCTTTAAAGACTAATCTTACACAGAAAGGAGGAGAAAAATAGGAAAATAATCCAAGCTTACCAGCCCTATTCAAGTCAACAAGAGTCTGGCTCCTTGTGTCATCATGAAGACTCTTTCCACTGTCTTGCTCCAACTGAATTTGTTTAATCCTCACAGTTTTGGTCACCATCTGGCTCATTTTGTTGTCTATGCAGAGACTGTATGACAGTCTTCCATTCACCGCAATAGGAACTCTTTGCTGAGTGATTTGATAGCCAGCCTGTCAACAAAATTATCTTTATACTCAAATAAAACATTCACTTTTCACAAAGCAGCAGCATGACCAAGTGCAAATATTATAGACTAAGAACAAAACTGAAAATGCAACAACTTCATAGTGACCTATATAAGAAGATAGAACACATGCACATATAAATTCAGAAGTTATTTTGCTTAGCTGGAAAGGAAGCAAGCTAGAAGATGGGTCTAGAATTTGACATAACTGTGAGAAAAAAAACTGTCTGGAAAAAATAAGAGGACTCCTCAATACAGACAAGTATAAGATACCATACTAATGCAGAAATAATTAATAATCAACTGCACAACCGCTTGCCAAGGATGACATAAATTTCACTGATACTGCCTTGGGGCAGGAAATGGACTAGAAGAGGTTCTTCCATGCCTGTGGTTCCCTGATCATGTCTGAAGCCAGTTACCACACTCCATCCCCAAGCTGGCACTATCACTCATCCTCCCATCAGGCTGAATACCTCTCTCCACTTGTTCAGAACTTTACTTATTAGAGGGGAGGAGAGGGAGAGGGAAGGGGGGGTGGAAATCAAGAAAATGAGAAAGCTCAATTTCATTAATGTAGCAATTTAAAAGATAGACACTGCAACCCCACATAAGGCACACAGCTGGTAAATGCCACCTCATGCCTGGGACTCCACTCAAAGGGGAAACTGCTAGCCAGAAAGGGGGCTGCCAGTGACAAGGTATTGGAATAACTGCAATGATGTATAAATACAGAAGCGAATTGATTACTCTGTTGAGGTAGGGTCTCCATCTCTTCCTCCTTCCTAGCCTGCTTGTGCCTGCAGAGGTGAGAATTAAAAAAAAAAAAAAAAAAAAAAGCCTGCCAGATTTCAATGAATTGGGAGGAGCATTTGCATATCTTGCAGGGAGGACGAGCTTACTCTTAAAAGGTAGAGATGGTGACAGTGCATTGGAATGGAGAACAATGGTCTGGCCCTGTGAACAGCTCAATTTATATATGCAATGAAGTGCATGACCTTCTACCCGTAATCACTATGAGAAAAATAAAATAACTGACTCTATGCAGCCTATGCTAATCACATAGCTCTTCCCATCTCCTAAAACTTCTCATTAAAGTGATTTTTGTAAAGCCTGAAATAGTGAGTGACAATAAATAACAAGAATCCCATCTCCCATTCAAAGCCCCATTTTCAGGAGTAACAATAATCCCATTGTCAAATGACCCTAAGAGCTGGATTTATTTTATCTGTTCTATACAGCTCATTAGCCTAAACTCTGCATCTTATTACAGGGTTCCTGACTAGATGTTTCACTATGAAATGCAGGTCGGGCCATTTATTGTCAGTGCTTAAACTGGAGAAGTCAGGCAGTAGAAAGCCAGAATTACATGTTTGAAGCTAATAAAATGTGTCAGCATCTCCTTTAACCCAATTTCCATGCTTATCTGACAGAGGATCCCGTAACTCATGTCTGCAGACAATGGCAGCCCATTTGGTGCCGTACACACCTTCTTCCACCTCACTCTTCTCTAAACACATGGATGTGGTTTCTTTCTTATGACAACATTCTTCCATATAGCTTCTATGCAGTAGACTGATAGCAGCAGACATCACAACAATATGAGAGATTGTTTTCAGTTTAACAGCAGAAGCACCAAAGGCTTGCAAACAAGTTTGCGATGTTTTTGGTGTTTCTTTATGATGTGTAAAGGAATTTTGAAAGTCGTATGTATGTCCTGCTATTTCACTTTTTTCTCCTTCAGGTCTGGAAATGGGCTTTAAGATAGTATTACAAGTAAGAAAAAAAAAGTATTGGCAATTCAAACTGGTAAGTTTGCGGTTTACATTCCCAGTAGCTCACTACAGAGCCCCCAACAAAAGGGCCTCTTAATGGCTCACAAACATTAGCAGTTATCCACAGAAACCAAATCAGTAATTATATCAACTTCACAGAAGAGCCACAAGTTCCCAACCTGGAAGAAAACAGAACAGAAATCTCTTCTGAGATCCAGGTCTCCAGTGGACAGCTATAGCATAGTTCTCTTTCTAAGATGGGAAGCAATTGTATTTGAATATGTTTAGTGTAACTTCAAAATATTTCCAGTGCCTGAACAAAATAGCGGGAGAGAAAGTAGTTTGGTGAATAATACAGCACCTCTACACTTTAATATGGGACCTGAGAAATCTCCCACTCTGCTTCTCCAGATGTCCAGGACACCTCACCTAAAGAGAGGATAAGCTAACATGCCTGATCTTTCTCAGATAAAATAGAAATAGATTTTTTTATTTTAGTGCAGTCATCAGATCTCTACCTCAAAATAAGAGGAAGTAAAACTAGTGTCCTCCCTTTGACAGGTTAGTGTTAAACTGAACATTCAGTACAAATAAGCTGACAGAAAAAAAAAAAAGTTTAAAATAAGAAAGGTTTAACTTCATTAAAATAGAAAAGAAGGGTCAAACACTGCTGCATCCTGTTGCAAAGTCAGGAGTCAGGTTCTTAAATTATTTCAATATTTCTACACCCATATCAAGTGCAGCAAAATGCAGTTGACTTCCAGTGACACCTTCTACCAAATGTGAAAGCTACCAACAAACCATACTGCAAAGACTCAGTTTCTCAGTTTGGTTTTTTTTTTTTTAATTTATTGGAACCACTGACTGAGAAAGTTTTAAAGGGAAATTAAGTATTTTTAAGTCCCTAAGCACACACAAGAAGGACACTATTATGTTTATACCACTGGAACCTGTGTTTGTTATACATTCACTTTAAATGAAGAACTATTATCAGACTGCTTTTACCCTAACAGACAATTAGTACTAAACACCAGGAAGGGAGAACTTAAGGGGCAAAGCAGCTCCAGCTCCCAATTCAATTACATTAAGCTACTGGAATCGTGCAGCTAAGCAAGGAGTCAGCAATCAGAGCAATCATATTTAATCAGTGAGCACTAGGGTACAGCTGTCTGCTCATAAGGGCACAGTGCAGCATCCTGCTGGAGTGAGCAGAACACTGACTGAAAACAGAAAAAGCATCTCTTCACTCATCCCCTATTGCCACCCGTACTCCAGAGTTGACCTTTCCTACAGCTGTAAAGGGACCAGCCATACTGTGTACTTACAGGCAGATCTGCATAGAAATAGTGTTTTCTGTCAAACAAGGACTTCTTGTTTATGCTGCAGTTGAGTGCCAGGCCTGTCATCACTGCTGCTTCTACACATCTCCTGTTGAGAACCTAAGGAAACATGACACATGGTTTTTGCTCAGATACTCAGTATGTAACAAATGTGTCTCCCACACATTGCCTTATGTGGAGCATACATTCAATTTTGCTTGCCTTCAGCCACCACTAGATCTCTTTCCTTGTGTGGGTAGTTCTTATTCATCATTGAAGTCATGGTAGCTACAAATGTGCAAAGCTTTAAGATGAAAAAACAAGCCATTCAGCCGTTTTGTCATGCCACATAAGGAGGCATGCACTGTTCTGGCTTGCTACTTTTGCAAACATTCCAGTACTTTTGAATCTTAGAGGGTGCAAGAGACAAACCATCGCAAATGGTAACTGACTTGTAACTAGCTGTCAACTCACACTGGGAACTGGAAACACAGGGGATTTGGATTAGGGAACTGCAGTGCCATTTCAGTAAAACACTACAGTACACCTGTAACCACAGAACCAGAGCGAATTCATGAGTATCTACAGGTAGATTTCAATGCTTTGCTTAACCAGGATGAAATTAAGCACACTTACATGCTGCCGTGGTTTAACCCCAGCCAGCAACTAAGCACCACACAGCCATTCACTCACTCCTCCCTTCCCCACCCCAGTGGGATGGGGAGGACAACTGAAAACAAGTAAAACTCATGGGTTGAGATAGTAGAGTTTAATAATTGAAATAAAAAGAGACAATAATAATAATAATAATAATAATAATAATAATGAAGATACCAAAAAGTGAGTGAAACATAACCTGAGAAAGACAAGTGATGCACAGTGCCAATTGCTCACCACCCGCTGACCAATGCTCAGCCAGTCCCTGAGCAGCGATCTGCCCCTCCCAGCCAACTCCCCCCAGTTTATATACTGGACATGATGTCACATGGTATGGAATACCCCTTTGGCCAGTTTGGGTCAGCTGCCCTGGCTGCGTCCTCTCAACTTCTTGTGCCCCTCCAGCCTTCTTGGTGGCAGGGCATGAGAAGCTGAAAAATCCTTAATATAAACAATACTTAGCAACAACTAAACACATCGGTGTGTTAACAACATTATTCTCATACTAAATCAAAAACACAGCACTGTACCAACTACTAGGAAGACAATTAACTCTACCCCAGCCAAAACCAGGGCACATGCTTTGCTAAAACAGAACCAAAGAGACATCAATTGATCGCACGGCTACAAGTATACCTGCATTTCCATTACCCAGGTAACCCATAGGATTAAGGTTCTTGCAGAATGCCACGTGATCTGAAGGCCCAGTATGGCCTTCAGGAAGAAATAAAGGAGTTAAATGCAGTTTCTCACCATAGACCCATCACTCTCAGTGCTACACCCTTCTAACTCCTCAGCAGTGTCAGGATCCAGAGGAAAAATAAAATTCCACTCCAAAGAGTACTAACAAGCAATGTTTCAAAGTTATGTTTTTCCCAATGTGCTCTCATTAATTTAACGGTTGGTTTAACTAACACCAAATGGATAAAACTGAAAAGAAAGTAAGACTGAATTTGTCTTAGTACAACTCTGACATGCTCACACTTACAGTATTTTGAAACAGGAACAGAACTTTATCCATCTTATTCTGCACTGTACAGCTGCCAAGAAGTCAACTTCCAGCAGGACCATTAAAGGGGCATATTATGTAAAAGAATCTACATGACTTCATCTGCATTGACCAGAACATAAAAGGCCTAAATAATGTCTTCTTCAATGTTTCTGACAGTATTTGCTTTTTATATTCTCCAGCCTGATTTCTGAAAACAGATTAAGCAACTGTACATTTCCCATCATCCCATGTCTTCAGCCGGAAAAAGAATCTCTTTGCTTCACTCATCTAATGTTTCAAAAATCAAAATAATAAAGAGAAAATATAAAAAACTCTTAATGTAACAGAAACTTAAAAATTGCTTATACAGAAAAGAAATGAAATATTTAAGACATTTAACGAGGGAACTTTCAGATCTTCAGTGTAGCTATATATGGCTAACTAGAACACATCACCTGTTCAGGCATATTTTATTTATTAAAAAATTTAAAAGATACATAAAGCAAATTTTAAACAAGAAAAAAGGAAGAACCATTTCCCTTTGAAATACTGTTCCACAGCAAAATGAATGCAATTAGTCCTGACTGTAATCTAAAGCAAAATTGGTAACTACGAAATATTAATTTATTTTAGTATCATAGCAGCAGTTCATTATATAGGAGATGCTCCTGTTTTCAGCAATTAAATGCTTCCAGACAGTACAGATACTTTTTTTTTTACTGTTCAAGGAAACTTGTAACAGTGCTAGTCAAATTGTTCAATGTTTAAAATATCATAATATTTCTAAATACACAGGCAAAATTTCCTCCTACTAAAACCTTATGGCATGATCCTGTCCAGCTTTACAAATTAGGGAGGACCATACCAGTCAGCTCTTTAACAACTGGTCACCAGAAACCATTAAGGCTTCCATAAAGCCTGGGTAGACTCAAAACACCACTGTGTCAAAGTAGTGAACTGGTGTCTTGCTACATTTCCTGATGGTGCAGGGGTTGTAACTGATTGTAATCAGAGAAGGAGACAAAACCCAACTCCAGAGTGTTCATAATCAGATGGCTCTCTACTTCCTCAAAAATCAAAACTTATCTGTTTAATACTGCTCCATTTCTGAAGGACAACTACTACCCATTCCAGTGATTATGGCTGTGCACATAAAGCAGACTTGTTTAAGCAAACTACTACCTTTCCTTCAAAAAAGCCTAGCTTTTCAAATAATCTGCAATAATAAACATCAATTCAGTATGTGAAACTTCCCATACTAATGACCTAGAATAAGTCCCCCAAGCTTGTTTATGCAGTAAGCTGTTATTAAGTTGACAGCTTTTGACTAGCACCAAAGATTTAAATTACTGGCTTGAACTGACAAGCTGCCAGTCTGGTATGTTAGCAAAGTGCTGGCCTTGAAAGCAAGCTGTGTAGTTCCTGCAATGGCTATGGACAAAACACAAGAGCCTATCAAGCCTTCTTAAATACATCTGGTCTTCTAAAATGGAAGCATCTCTCCTAGGCATTTATTTAAAGAAATTCCTAGAGAGCTATCACAAAAGGAAATGTAAATTGTTTGTATTAGAAACTCATGAGAAACCTTAACAATGGCATCACACCACCAGCACCATTTCCCCTGTAGCTACACTATCCTGCTAGAGCACCATGGTAACTGAGCGCTAAAGGAATGAAAGAACAATGCAACCAAGATGTCTCTTTTTCTGATAGCCATCTATTCTTTATAGCTAGTTCACAAGTAGAAAGACTCCTTTAAAAAGTTATCATCTTTATTTGCAAGGTCAGTTTAGTCAAGACCTTGGTTTTAAATACAAGACTACTCAATAGCTATAGAAAACTATACACAATACCTTCAACAGCATAAACATCCACCAAAGGCAATTTTTTAACAGCTTCTTCTTTAACAGCATGTTTACTCCTTATGTTAATACACTAGAGAAAGCTGGCCCCCATTTAGGTGAAGAGATATGTTTCTATATTTAGCAAATGATCATTTTTTCATTTTAAAGAGAGTAGATATGCAGCTTCTTGTTTTTCTAATGAGTCTTATATAGGATAAGTTGTGGGGAAAAAATGAAGAAACATCTAGATCTCTCTCCTGGAAAAAGTTTATTTTTGCTAGCTTTAAAAAAAAAAAAAGTAATCTTTGCGATAACAGTGGCACCCAGAAAGCCTAAGTTATGGAACAAAGTATTCCTTGTACTAAACACATAAAATTAAAGTAATTCCCCAGAAATTTTAGAAGTTTTTGGTTCTAGGTCACACATTATTCATAAATAATTAATAAAGTAGATTTCATATTAATTGGCTATCTTAAGACCTTCATTCCTACTTATAATCATGAAGAAATCAGCCTTAATCAGATTAACTACAGGACTGTTTATCTAAGAAACATTTAATTTTAGCTCCTTTTCATTCAAAATAACAGCTGGAAGAAGGAAGTAGTGCAAGGTACTTAGCCAGCTCTCTGTAGACCAGGCAGTAATATTTAGAAACCTCAACAGATAGATCTAATCATACTTCCCAGTACTCCCATTTCATATCAGTCTGATTTTTATTTGCTTCCACTAATGGATATACTCAGTCTTACTATTCTTGCTGTGTTAAAAGTATCAACTTGCTCCAATATATGGTTCTTTGAAGTGCAATCATAAGTTAAACTTCAAAATAAACTCCTCTTGTATCTACTTAGTCTAAATGTAATTGTGACTGTTCAGTCTGACACTGCAGATGAGTACTTCAATGCAGTGTTCTTCCTTGGCCCCCTCCCATGCACACGGAAGGGCATAACTGTCTTGTAGCTATGCATGTACAGAACATACATTACAATAAATTAAGAGCTAACCATTTCCCAAATGACCCATTTATTTCAACAGGTCTAGAACCAGACCCCATCCCTCTAAGCATACAGTAAAAATTTAAAAAACAAGCCAAAGTAAATTTTGTCATTTGTTTGGTCTGCAAAGAGCCCACATATTCCAAAAACAAAGGTCTCTAACTGCAGGAGAAATCTAAATAGAAGGCCAGCTTCAGTTTAGGGTCTTCTGCATTTCAGTACAGCATCTACTTCACAGCATATTTCCTACCCTAATACGAACATTATGTTTGTTTCCCTAGGCAAAGCAGCAAGAGAGTAGAGGAGGAAGCACCAGACATTTTAAATTAAGATCTTAGATTAATAGAATGAGGTTTCAGCTTAAGAAGAGCACAAAATGGCAACTGGGAAGCTGAGGCAGCAAAGGAAGATTGGGGCGGTGGGTGGGCAGGTGGCATGAAATATACGTTAATACATTTTGTAACTTAATCTTTCTGCAGTCTGGTACCGAAGATGTATGCTGCTATACAAAACACATTATTATTCCTAACCTTGTCTGGTGGCAAAGTTGGCTTACAGTGATCTAGCACACACTCATTCAAGTCGTTATCTTAAAACCAGGCAACTCTGACATTTTAAGAAGCACCCAGCTCC